AAAAAAAAGGCAAAAAGTATTGAAAATTTCAACAAATAATAGTATGTTTATTATATTTTTGCATGAAATAAATCATAAATATATAAAAATTAATAAAAATGTACTTTTGTGTACATTTGTATAGTACTTTTTTCCAAACGGGATCATATAGGTCATTTCATCTGGTTTTCAGAACAACCTCATGTATTAACTACTCAGATATCACCAACCTTATTTTGCAAAACTGAGGAAATAAACCTCAGAGATATTGATCTACCCTATATTTTTTAAATTCACGCAACAAACACTGAAAACCTACATAATAAGATGTTGTACTCAGATTTGTAGGATGACCAACCATCCCAGTTTGTCCAGAATTTAAATGTTCCTTGGGATGTAGACTTACACTGCTAACATGGAACAGTTCTGGCCACCCTAACACAATTTGGGGGATCCTATTGGCACATTTTGGCTTAAGTCATGAAATAAGCTCTATCCTCCTTGTTCATCCCACTGAATGCTCTACCAGTTCTGAGCAAGCAGTCCTTCAGAAAGTCTGCATAGTCATCGCTTCTTTTCTTTGCCCATCCTTAACACCTTAACTAACTTTCACTTTGCCTCTTTCTGGATTGATGTTCTGAACTTCTTGCTGAACCAATTTCACATCCCCCTCTGCTCCCTCCATTCACATCTTTCTTTGTCAATCAGTCTGTACTTATCCCATGTTGAAATACATTCCTATTTTAATTCTTATGTTCTTTTACATAAACCATTCTCCAAGCAAAATTAACCACTTCGTAAGCAGTCCTTTTCTCTCTGTGCCTCTGTTAGGCCTTGCCACATGTGTGCAATACTTTTTTCTTTCCTCTACAAAATCTTACTCGTCTTTCAACCCAATCTTAAATTTCAAAGTTTCTCAGAATTTTCAAAAGGATGTGAGCACTCTGTCCTTTGAGGTCATTTCACTTTGTACTCCTGAATGACTCATCTCACGTGCTTTATAATTATTTATATCCTTTTCTTAATTTTCCAACTAGATCATATATTCCTCAAGACCAAGCATGATCTGCAAATTCCAGTATTCCTGCTTAATCCAGCAAACATTCACTATATTTTTATTAATGATTGAATTGTTCTAATCCTCCTTTCAGACCTGACTTTAAAAATGCATTTTTAAAATGAACCATATAATGAATGTATGAACATTGTAATTTTTAAAAATATAAAATATCCAAGGATTATCCAACCTCAACACGAGAGTTCTTGCACACAGAATATACACGAGCATCATTGTGTGTGTTTGTACATATGTGCATTGTCAACCCAGCCAGCTCCTTTTAGCAGGTCCCCTGCAGGAAAGGCCACAAAGAAGAAGAGTGACTCCAGGATGAGAAATCACTTATGTTCAGAAAATAGAATTTAATTGTGTAATTTTTCATATGGTTGAAATTGAATTGGTATTGAAATATGGAAAGAATGTCTGTTTGGGGTTTACATTGTTTCTCCCCAATTACAGAGGGCCATAAGGTAAGACTGACATTCATGCAGTTTGAGATTTATACATTTTAGATTACATTTGTATTTTAGGACAATCTCAAAAGAAACCCATCAAGTTGGGCCTTAAAGGGTTATACTTAATTAACCTGTAATCAATTGAAACTTTGGAACTAAAAGATTTATCATAGTATTTGTTTAGCTTTTATTGAGACAATTTCAAAAGTAGCCAAGTTGAAGAGGAGTAGAAGCATTTTTCATGTTTTCAAATTTTTCTCCTGATGGCTTTGGACCTGGATCTGGAAGAGAAAACAAAAAATTAATGAGAAAACAATCATATTATATCTTTCGTTATCCTCTGAAGCTGCTCAGTCTCTCCCCCTCACAGAGTTTCTCCAGCCACTCACATGTATCAGGGCCTGCCACCTCAGATACTGCCCTCCGCGCTTGGAGAACAGAGCTTTGATCTTTGCATCTTAATCACAACTGACTTGTGCTCCCCTGTTCTGAGCCAAGTTATATGAAGGAAAGGGGGAGATGAATGAGTGGCCCATGCATCTGATATCTAATATCTGCTACTTCAGATTTGGGGTTTAATTTAGTGTCTCTATTGGAGAGTTTGAGGGAAAAAAAACCGACTTTTATCTTCTTTAAATAAATTCATGCACTGACGCACGATTTACCTTCTCTGGCAGTTTTATTATTCAAGACAATGGACTTTTTTAGTTGTGCGATATTTTGGCTTTTCCCTTTCCTCTCACGTTTATAAACAAAAACATTCAGTTTGGTCATTTAAACAAGAGTAAAACAGAAGTGATTCATAGCACTAAGACTCCAAAACTTCCATGCTGTCATTGTCATTGTTTTATAACACGCAATGGAAAGCAAAATAGTCCTGATCTTTGTATTTTAAATAACAACTAAATTCACTGCATTAAAATCACCTTTTCTGTGAATGACTTTCTACAGATGACTTATTTACCCTTCAAATGTTGCATGAATCAGTTTATGAACCATTAGAGTGCTCATTCTGCACTTAGGCTCCAGCCAAGGCATTAAGTGGGGTCTGAGTTGTAGCACTGTTATGCAGGATAACTGCAGATAGGTGCCCTGCCTTGTAAGTTGTTCCTTCCCAGAAGACTGAGCACCTCTTTCTCAATACACATATACCATCTGCACTTCCAAATCTTTCCTGGTGCAGCGTTGGTCCGCAGAGATCCATTTTTCCTAACTCATCAGCTTAGAAAGTGCATCTTCTCCTAATTTGCACAGAAGCATCCTGTAAGTGAGCTGCAACTTGGCCCCATAGAACCAATGCATGTTTCCAAGTGAATGACACGGAAAACAATCAGGATAAACAGCTTTCAATAACAGAAAGAAAAAAATATCATACAACAGTTTTGCTACTCGAGCATTTACTTGCATTAAAAGTCCATTGATAACAAGAAGGGAAGTTGAAAAGACACTTGGGATTTTGCCAGAAAGTGTTGAGAGGGATACATCCCCCATGGGAAGGTGCTATGGAGTGAGTGAGGCCTCAGGGAGACAGAATCAGGCTTATGCCACCCTGTGCAGAGTCAGTGCCAGGAAGACAGGTGGGATGAAATAAACTAGAGATTCCTGTGAAGTGGAATATACCTTAGTGAGTAGAATTCATTCTAAACTCAAGATAGTACTTCAGAGGAGGACACATCATGAGTTTTAGTTTAATAGGGATATCTCTGAGGCAACCAAAAATAACAAAGACCTGTCCCGATTATCAAGTAGGTTCTTGGAAGGAATGGATAAATCTAATTTTTTTCTTCTTTATTTTCTTATGGATGCTGATGGGAATAAGCAACTTCTGTCCAACAAACACTACCATGGTTCCACAGTCTCCAGAGACCCTGTGTTGCTCTCTTCTTTCCCCTACAGACTTGTTTCCTTGCTTACCCACTTTGACTGTGTTTCTCTTAACCCCATCTCCTCCTTTTTGGGAGATGTTGTACAGAAATTGAAGATGAGCTTCTGACAGCTTTCATTACCCTAATCATTCATTCATGTATTAAGAACTGATTAAGGATTTGTTGTATGTCAGGCATAGTACAGCTCTTGTTTATAAAGAGACAGCAAAGACACAGATATGTCAAGTTTCCTAGCCAAAACACACCCCTGTTTATTTTTCATTTCTTCCCGCGTGTTTTATTGGCTCTAAATCTTAACTAGATCAATATTAGATTCTGGGTTCTGTGTCCCAATCCACAAGACTTTCTGAATGATTTTTTAAAATACCCTCCTCTCACTCTTTTATCTTCTGTTTCTTCTTCCTGTCAGTATGTAACACTCAAGTTATCTACTTAAAAGTCCTCATGTATCAATTCTGAATATTAATGTATCAGAAAAATAGCTGGCAAAGATTTTTCTCCCATCCTGCAGGCTGCCTCTTCACTCTGTTAATTGTTTCCTTTGCTGTGCAGATTTTTAATTTGATGCTGTCTCATTTCTCAGTTCTTGTTATGATTCCCTGAGCTACTGGAATCCTATTCAGGAAGTCATTGCCTGTGCCTCTGTCCTGAAGTATTTCCCCTGTGTTTTCTTCTAGCATTCAAAAAATGAATTCACAGAAGAAAATACAGCAACAAAACTCATGAATATCAGACTTGTCAACCTAAACAAGGCATGCTTTTCTAATTTCCATGAAAGGACTATGAAGTAAATAACCTAATCAACAGCACCAAAATATCTAAATAACCCAATCAATAAATGGGCAAGTGACCTGAATAGAAACTTTTTCAAAAAAAGAAAAAGAAATACAAATGGCCAAGAATTATATGGAAAAAAAGTGTTCAACATCTATAACTATCAGGGAAATGCAGATTCCAAACTACATTGAGATTCCATTTCACCCCAGTTAGAATGGCAATCAATACAAAAACAAAAAATAACAAATGCTGGTAAGTAGGTAGGGGGAAAGGAAAGCTTATACACTGTTGGTGAGAATGCAAATTAGTATAGTCACTACGGAAATCAGTATGGAGCCTCCTCAAAACACTAAGAACAGAGCTGTCATATGATCCACCTATCTCACTCCTTGGTATATACTTGAAGGAATTAAAGTCAGCATACTATAGGGACAAGTACGATATATATACATATGTATATGTATATATCTATATCTATCTATCTATCTCTATATATATATATATCAAATAATATATACGCACATACACACACACACACACACATACACACACACACAATTGGGTATTATTCAGCCATAAAGAGATATAAAATCGTGTCATTTACAGGAAAATGAATGGAACTGCAGATCATAATGTTAAGAAAAATTAAATCAGATTCAGAAAGACAGGTACAACATGGTTTATTTCATATATGAAGTCTAGAGGGAAAAGACAACATGAAAACAGAAGGGGAAGGAGATTGGGGGAGGAGAAGGGAAAGGTTATGGAGGGTAATAGAGAGTAGATATGATCAAATTATGTTATATACATGTATGGATATGTGCCACAATGAAACCCACTATTCTGTATTATCAAAATGCATTAATTAAAAAAAATAGAATAGAATCTTATACTATAGTTCAGGGAAATGAGCAATAAACAAATTCATAAATGTTAATTTTATATGAGCAATACATGTAATGAGGATAATAAGCAAGTTTATGAAGGAAAAAAAATGCTCTCTCAAACTCTCTTTGGACTTAGGATTCTGGCTTTCTTACTCTCTCTCTCTCTCTCTCTCTCTCTCTCTCTCTTTCTCTCTCTCTCTCTCTCTCCTTCTTCCTCAAGGTTTTCATGGACAAGTTATTGGCTCTTGGCTTATGTAATTCCCCACCTATAACTCTAAAATTGGTAAACCTCTTCTCACTAGGGACACTAAATCCAATGAATATATTTTAAATCTTACCTTACTCACTCTTCAATAGCATTTTGAATGTTAAGCAAATCTTCCTACATTGATGATTCCCTTTCTTGGCTTCCAACACAACACAAACTCTGGTTTTCTTGGTTTTTGGCCAACATTCAGTGTCTTTATAAGCTGTTCTTCCTGTAGACTTATGATAAATGCTGGTGTTTGGTAGGCCCTCACCTCATTTTATGTTCTCTACTTCCCTTGGGTGAGTTCACCAGTGAAATGGTTTCAATTACATAAAACAATGAACTTCAAAACTTATGGTACATAAGAATCAACTGGAAAATTGAAGTTAGTAGATATAAATGGGGCCAAATTTAATGTTTTGACAAGTACTTTTGACAATTCTGAGAAACAGAGTCACACATTCAAATTACCCCCTCGACCTTGAGCTGAAGTATAAATTCTATGAAGGCACTAATTGTGTCTGTCTTATTACCATGGTCTTCCCAAAGCCCATCAGGGTATCTAACAAACACAAAGTTTTGTTTAACATTTGTAGGAAAAATGAATGCATGTGTGGGTTATCTACATGTGCAGCCCAGAATGTGATGTGCAGCCCCACCTGCCTCCAATGTCAGTGCATTGTGCCATCAGCCACTCATACCAAGTCATAAACCCTGACTCTTCCATCTATCTCAATCCTACTTAACCATCAATTAACAAATATACCTTTATCTCTTCTATTATTTTGCAAAACCCTCCCTTCCTTTCTATCACCATAGTCCAGGCCACCACGATTTCTCTGCTGGATGACTTCAGTGCTCTTCTAACTAGCTACATTGCCTCTATTCTTACTCCGGGGTTTCCTTAAACAAAAAACAGCATCACTAGGGTCTAAACACATTGATCATATTTCCATGGCCCTTTAAGAGAAGGCTTCTGCTAGTCTCTACAAACCTATTTCCACATTATTCACCTCTCTTCCCCTCACTTTATGCTTGACTCAATAAATTTTGGAAAGTAATTTTTCTTGCTTTTCATACTAATAGTATTTCCTTTCACAAAAACTTTTAGATATATATCAACTTAAATGCCAGCTCCAAGGGAGACATTTTATTTCAAGTCTCATCTATATACACTGGTTTTTCACATTTTCACTCCTTTACTACAGAGTTTCTAACTCACCGTTTTTCAGTCCTTATGAATTTGATCCAATGTTTTTAATACAGATTATTCTGTTAGTAAAATATTTATTATATACTTATTTTGACATGCTATATTCTTTCAACAATAAATTTTTGAGATTTTAATGTTTTATAGCAATAGAAATGTTTCCTTTTTTTCCAAATTTAACTTGTTATGTGAAAACTATTTTATCACCTGTGCTTTATCTCACCTTTTATTGAAATGTAGCACTAATAATTTTTTTCAAGAAAGTAGGTAG